GGTGGAAATGCATATGGAAGGCCCGCCGGCCAAGGGCTGCGGAGGGCATCTGCTCCTTCCGAACCCTGGGATGGGTACCGAGATAGAAACGGGGGAAGCTGGGTGTTCTTCGGGATGCAAACAGGTCAACTTTGGGCCAACCAAAACGGTGAGTTATCTCCCGAAAGAGATGGGGATGTAGACGCCACTCTGAATGATCTATTGTAGATCGACTCAGAAAATCTGCCTGGTCGTTTTCCACCCCTGAAATGTGTTCTGCCTTTAGGGACAACAGATTCTGTTCCGCCCATGACCCCAGACACTGGGCCTCGGACATTAGAATCCGTGATCGAGTGCCGCCCTGCCTGTTGACACGGGCCTTTGTCGCCACGTTGTCTGTCAGAACCAGCAAGTGGCGGCCCGCCAACTTCTTGTGGAAATGGCGAAGTGCTAGGTGTATGGCTCTGAGCTCTAACCAATTGATATTTTTCTTGAGATCCCGTTGAGACCACCGTCCCTGGGCGAATTGAGATTGCAGATGTGCCCCCCATCCAAACAGACTGGCGTCTGTGGTCAAGGTTACCCGAGTCGGTTCTCTGAACAGGGATCCTTTGGACAGTGCTGGGGACAACCACCAGATGAGGGATGTGAGTGTCTGTGGTGGGACTCCCACCCTCTGTGGAAAACATGCTACACCCCGTTTCTGGTAAGGGAGTAGAAACCACTGTAGTTGTCTCGTATGAAGCCTGGCCCAAGGCACTATGGCAATACATGAGATCAGTTTCCCTAACAGCTGTGACAGCAGGAGTAGGGTTACACGTTTCTCCTTGCGCACCCTGGTGACCATCGTACGTATGCTGAGCTGACGCTCCTGAGACAGGAAAACTCGGCACTGGCTGGTGTCTATTATTGCGCCTAGGTGGAGCAAACGGTTTGTTGGGATCAGATGGCTCTTTGGGAAGTTGATCATAAATCCATGATCCTGGAGTGTCTTGATCGTCAGTGCCACGTCTGAACGGGCGTTCAGTGCCGAGGACGATTGGATTAGGATATCGTCCAAGTAGCACTGAACGTGGACTGGTACCAACCTGAGCTGTGCGGCGAGAACCGCCAGGATTTTGGTGAAAACCCTTGGAGCTGATGATAGGCCGAATGGCAGGGCCCTGTACTGATAGTGATGGTTGGAATACCTGAATCTGAGGAAACGCCTGTGATTTGGATGTATGGGAACGTGCAGGTAAGCTTCTGTCAGATCTATGGATGTAAGAAAATCCCCCGGCCGAATACTGCCCAGAATAGAATGAAGAGTTTGCATCTTGAATTTTTGGTAAATTAGGTACCGATTTAGAGCCTTGAGGTCTAGGATCACCCTCCATCCTCCTGAGGGTTTTGGTACCATGAACAGGATGGAGTAGAAACCCAGTCCCCATTGATCTGGGGGTACCCGCTCTATTGCCTCTATGCTTAACAGATGACAAATGGCCTCCTCCATGAGACCTTGTTTCACGGGATTTCTGGATAGGGGGCAGGAGATGAAGCGCCGAGGTGGGAGTGTGAGGAACTCCAGAGACAGTCCGTCTCTGATAGTGGTTAGAACCCAATTGTCCATGGTGGTACTTTCCCATTTGTGGAAATATAGTGCCAGTCTTCCGCCAATGGGAGGAATCCGCCTCAAGTCACTTTGACTTTCGGAAAGGACGAGCTCCTCTGCCGCGAAGGGGCCTCTTAGCCTGGAATTGTGGCTTTGGCTTGTCTCTGTACCCAGACCGGTCCGATGAGCGGTCCGGCCCTGCTTGAAAGGGCCGATACCCGCTCCATGTAGTTTGGTCTGAGCCAGACTTGAACGACGGACACCGGTTGTATGGAGAAAAACGTCTGCCCGTTTTTTTGACAACATGAGCTAGTACTTTCAACTTTTCCTTGTTTTCAGTCAGGTAAGGAGTGAGAGCCTCTCCAAAAAGGCGACCCTTATGATATGGTGCCGCAGCTACTCTCCATTTGTGCCTGGTATCGGCCTTCCAATTTTTTAGCCAGAACAACCGGCGTGCGGCCACATTGGAAGCTATGGCCCGAGCCGAATATTTGGCCGACTGCAGAGACACATCCGTCATGTATTCCAGTGCGGCCCTTAGTTTAGTGACATCCTGGTGAACCCTTACCTTGTCTGGGGATAATCTGGCCTGTAATTCCCTGAGCCAGATTAATGCAATTCTAGCGAAAAAGGAGTTAGATGTTGAGGCTCTTATAGCCCAAGCCGATGCCTGATGGGTCCTTTTGAGGGAAATCTCAGACTTCTTGTCCTCAGCCTTAAGGGCCTCCGACATATCTCCTGGGATTTTGGTGTCTGACAGTATGGGGGCGAGAGCCTCGTCTACACTTGGAACTTCGAGGACATCGTTGAGGGAAGGGACCGTATCTAAGAGCTTACGATCTAATCCCCCAAGAGCAGAGAAACTTCCAGGAGATCCCCACTGATCCTGAATGGATTTGAGAAACATAGGGGGGCAAGGTATCTGTAGGTTCTTCTTGACCGGTTCCAGAAACAATGGGTCAGAACTCTGTCCAGAGTCCTAATCGGTCGTCTGTGGTTTCACGGGTTCAATTGTTCTGGTGACATAGGCCTTTTGTAAAAGAGGATAGAAGGAATTTGGATTAAACACCCCTACCATAGGAGTTGCCTCTGCCTGAATGTCTTCCCCGTCTGACCACATGCCTTCTTCCGGAATCTGAGCAGAAAAATCTGATATCTCGCTCCCTTCAGATTGAGGTGGAGAACCGTGATCTGAAATCACATACTCCCTGGGATGCCTAGTTTCCGTGGGCGTAGGAGGGGTTGACGGTCCTTGGACTGGAATGGCCCTCCCTGAAGCCGCCATTGCCTGAACCACCGCCTGTGAGATCATGGCTTGGAACTGGACAGTAAATGAAGGATGTTCGGGGCCCCGAAGACCCGCCGCCATCGGCGTGAAAGATGCTGAAGGGATTGGGGGAGGGACGACTGTAGTAACCTCCCCCTGAGACCCACAAGACACTGAGGAAGCAGCTGGAATGGAATCTTGGACCTGTAATCTCAATTCTCGGTCAAAGAGGGACAGATGGTCCCGTTCATATCCCAGCAAGGAACCCTGGTCCAGGGTCTGCTCAGGAGACCAAGCCTGTGTAAGAGGGGAAGGTCGATGCTCCCAGGATGTGGATGCAAGAGGAGGTGAGGGGATAAGCTGCGTCTCTCCTGTCTGCCGCAGGGCTTTGGAGAATTGTCGCTCCAGCACCCCATGTCTGCTATCTGCTTGCTTGTCATCGGCCTTAGAGGTCCGTTTGACCTTGGCCTTGGCTTTTGCAGGTGTATCCAGACTGGATGGCTTGCATTTTATATTTCCACTGGAGGTGGAAGCCTGTGAAACGGTGTTATCCGCCATATTGAAATAAACAATAGGAAATAAACAACAGGTGTTCACCAGGAGATCCCTGGATCTGGCCAGTACTGCAGTAGAAGAAAAGACAGGTTGTCACCAGGAGATCCCTGGATCAGTCCTGTTCTGCAGGAGAAGAAAGGGCAGGTTTTCACCAGGAGATCCCTGGATTGGCCCTTGGTCTGCAGGAGAAAGGAAGGCCACGGCCCACCTGGGTGGTACAGGCCTGCACGAGGGTCTGTGAGGTCTGGCCCACCGTTAAGCACGGAGTCACTACGCAATATAAGCCGCGCTACGCTCAGGGGCTGTCCTCCCCATTCAATTTTTCAGGCCCACTGTAATAGAGACAATTTGGCCGAAAAGGTATCAAATTAAAGATAAGTCTATATATGAATATAGGTATATATCTTGTTTAATTTAATTCTGTTTTATTTTAATTGATTTTTTTTGACCCTCTTGTCTCACTTAGTGACGGCTAGGACAGTAAGTGCCGACCACTATGCAGACAGCGGAAAACAGGCAAGGCAAGCAGCCATCCAATCTGTTGGCACTGGATATTTAAAAGGTACTGGTAAATCACAGTCTGGTATTTTCCCTATGTCCACTAGGCAACCTGAGATGGTGCCTATTAAGCAGCTGAATGAAGATCTAAAGGAATGTAATTAGAACTCCTATTCCCCCCCCCCACACTTAGGGAGAATCACCAAATAAGTAAGTTACTTCGTGACCGAAAAGGCTGTAATTAGGACAAAGCAGTCAATTTAATGTGTGTGATCGGGCGGAGCCCAAAATGGTGGCCGGGACAATCTGATGAGAGATGAAACAAGCTGAGAGAAAAAATCCTCTCCTGCAAGTAATCTGGTAATCAGCTCTTTTAGTCAAACAGTTCACATGCTGTTTTTTTTTTTTTTTGGTAATTTACAGCTGACAATCAACAGTAACAAGGAAGTACTTGAGTAGTGTGAGGATCGAGCCTTCTAGAGGCTCAAAATGGCGCCCACAGGTTGTTTGACTTGGTAACAAACCTAAGAAGGTGATTTCAGTTTTCAGCTGAAAATTAGTAGTTTAGCTTCGCATTCACAGCGAAGATCTTGGGAGGGGGTGGGGGAAGTGGATTGTAATGAGGAGGCAGCAATCTACGATCAGCTGTCTGCCTCTGAAAACTCACGGAGAAGGGAATTGATTAAGAGAGAAGAAATGGTGCAGCACTGAGCTCAGAGCTGAACCAATCCCCCCCCCCCCAAGAAGGAAAAAAAGGATAGAGAAACCACGAATGGCAATAACTACCTTTCTGAATCTAAATTAGGAGCCAAATTCTCATGTGTCTTCAGGGCTGAGACCAAACGAAAACTGGGGCATGGTCAGACCCTGCAGAGGCGTGGCAACTTTGATTGTTTGGTCTGATTGGGCTAGAAGACTAAATCAACCCATGCGTGGAGTCTACATTCCTCTACATGCTGGAGAAAAACACAATCATTTGGAAAATGCATCAATGAATGTTTTTCCTGCTGCAAACCTAAGCTTGGTTTGTTTGTTAAAAGCCACGTTTTATTTTGAATTGCAATAATTGTTAAGTTTTCTAGTTTTAAGCAAAACTAAGTGGCCACTTGCCTCTTTGGTGCTGCCATTGAGTGTTGCAAATGGGAAATTTATTCCATCTTCTTTCCCATTGTGTCTTTCTCTTTCTTCATTTTCTCTTTGTAAGAATTGTACTGTGAATCAGTACCAAAGAGTTTATCCCACCAGGTGAAAGTTGAAGAGTAATTGCCATTGAGGTTCATATGATGGAAGTCATGAAAGCGGGATCCAGCATAAAAGGGCAGCAAATGTAAAGGATTCAGAGGAATATCATAGCCACTAAAAAGAAACATAATCGAATGCACATTTTAATAATATGAAGCCATTTCTCACATTTTATGTACAATTTGTTTAGTCCTAAAGGTCTGAAATAGGATCTTGTATCTATTTGGAAATAAGTCCCATTGAGTTCAATGGGTAAATGAATAAATGACTAGGGCTTTAGATATTTATTTAGTTTTAGTATCAACATGACTGTGATGATCCAGGGCAAAGCACAGAGGAAATGTAGTCAGCTGGCAATTCAAACAGTTTTTTTTTATTGTTCCAAATTTTCCGCAAATGCTCCCAAGTTTACTGGCAAGCCTCAAACAAAAGAATCACACACACCCCTTCAGCCGACTCTGGCTGAAAGTAGGTTCAAATACAGTCTGATTAACATAAGAAAGTACTCAAGGCCATAGAGATAACAAGGAAGAAAACATAAACTTAACAAGTCTGTTTGAATCAGTTTTCAGTCAATCTAATAGTTTGAGTTTCCAGGTTTCCAAACAGAAGTCACAGAACAAGAGATCAGCAACAATACACAACACTCCAAGAATCAGTGTTTGTTCCCGACAAATCCCCTCCCCACAGCATCTCCTTAAATCTCAATCTCCAGATGTTCCTTGTGTAGAAGGGCGGGATGCTCTCCTCCTGAGTAATTAAGCCTGCCTGCGTTGTTCCCTCCTTCTCTCCACTCTCTGTGCTCTAGGATCAGGTGGGGGTGGCCCTTGCTCATCGCCTGAACTCTGCCTCTCCTGTTCCTCCTGTTCCAATCCTGAAGGGCCCTGGCCTGCCTCAGTCTGCTCTGCCCCACATTCCTCTGACACCTCTCCCTCGGCCTCCATAGGATCCCGTTCCAGTTCATTTTCCTCCGCAGATTCAGGTTCAGATGGAGGCATGACACTGGCTTTGAATCTTCTAAAATTCATTTTTTGGAAAGTCTTAAAGAATATTTCTTATATCTGTACTAGTCCATTAAATAACTTTCACACACACACACACACACACACACACACACACACACACATACACACATATATATATACATACATACATACATACATATATATATATGTAGCTAACAAAGTGGGAGAGAACCCGTGGCTTAGAGGTTATAACATCTGCCTAACATGCAGATAGCCCAGGTTCGAATCTCAGAAGAGTAAGTTTGGCTGATGAGGGTTAAAGGAACCCGAAATAGCTATACCATTCTCTCTTTATTCTTTGTTAGCAATACCTAATATATATATATATATATATATATATATAGGTCTTTTGTTGTTCGGATTTTCTCCCGCGTAAAATTGGAAGTATCTTGGCGACGTTTCAATGAAGTCACATTCGTCATCTTCAGGCTGGTGTTTTCAGCTTCTTGCTTTGAGCAGCAAAGCTGAAAACACCAGCCTGAAGATGACGAATATGACTTCATTGAAACGTCGCCAAGATACTTCCAATTTTACGCGGGAGAAAATCCGAACAACAAAAGACCTATATACAAATACCCGCGAAAACCTCAGAAAACAAATATATATATATATATATATATATATATATATATTCCAGGAAAATTATGTGCCTATTCAAACTGTCAGGATTATTACAAGCAGAAAAATAAAATAAAACTTCTCAGCTCTGAGAAGAGATAAGTAACATACTATTATAAGTTTCTACATGGTGATTATATTTCATACACATACAAACCTAGTCCATCATGAGTTGTTCATATTCTCCCATAGTATATGCCAGCAATCTAATCTGGCAGGGTTGGTGCACTTTTGAGTTCCATTGATTAAACAATAATATCTATCAGGACCCCAGAAGAGCGTCTTTCTCTGTACCAGCAATTGCCCTCTAGAATGTGGTTCCCCACAAGATTTGAATGGCCCACCAAGTGGTGTTTTGAAGGGCCCTGAAAACCTGGCTCTTTGCCCAGGCCCTTTTCTGACTCAAGTACTCAAGCCCCATCCAGATGGTTGGGTGGTTAACTCTGCCACCTTTGCTCTTTTTGCTCTGTTTTTTATTTGTTTTAAATGTTTTAAACACTTTTTAAACTGCCTAGATTTGCTGGGAGTCAGTGGCATATAAATTTAATATATTATTATTATGGCTCATTACACAGTCAGCCAGTCATTTAGATTGGATTTAGCATTTTTATCTGCCTATTGAGTCCTTCTCAAGAACCTGGGATAGGCAGATTTGTTTAATGGTGTTAAAGATATAATCACAGAGTGTAAGCTGTTCTAAACCAAAATTGCCTTTTGCAATTGGTTAGTTTGGTCATGCCAAACCATGGTGCTCAGATGTTTTGGGTCTGCACGCAAGGGACCTATTTTGGGTACTATCTTTGCTTTCTTTTGCCACAATCCTTCTACTTCCATTCTGATGTCTCCAGGTACTGCCATATCCACCATTGAAACTTTATCTTTCTTATCAACAATTGTTAAATTTGGTGTGTTATGTGGTAGGTGCCCATCTGTTTAAATTCTAAAGTTCCAGAGCAATTTAGCTTCTTCATTTTTTGTTACATTTTCTATTTTGTGGTTCTTGCTTGAAAGCAAATTATATTTCTTGCAGATCTCCCAATTCACTATTGTTGCTATTTTGTAATACCATTACTTGTGATCAGCCTGTGCAATCTTTTATAGCAGTTAACTAGATGATCCACTGTCTCTATAGCTTCTTCACTGAGGCAGCATTTGCTATCTGTTGGTGTCTTCTTATTTCCTGCTTTCTATGCATTTGTTCTTACGGTTTGGTCTTCTGCAGTCAGAATTGGTCCCTCTGTCTTTTTCTTTCACTTTCCTGATCTTAATCTTTGTCAGGTCTTGTTATTATCTGCTATTTTTTTTAGTGTACTGGCTATATAATATTTTTCCTTGCTATGTCTCTTTTCTATTCGACATGTGGTCTTTCTTGTAGGCCAGTATGGTCTCCCCAATAGTTAGTAAGCTTTCATGTATATTACCTTCAATGCATCTTCTTCATTTACCAGATAGTTTTTCAATGCTCACTTTTCTTTTTCAACTGTCTTGCAACATTCCACATCAACCTATTTTTCTTGGTAAGTAAAGACTGTCAGCATTGCTGTTTGGATGAAGGGTATGACTCATTGTCATTGTTTTTCTGATATTTTTATTCAGGACTTTTAGTTCTGCTTGAGTCCAGTCCACTATTCCAGCTGTGTATCTAATAACTGGAACTGCCGTGTTATTAACTGCTGTTATTAACTCTTATTTCCTCCACTAAGTTTGGACTTTAAAATCGTCTTCACTCTCATGATATATTCACTTCTCATTTTTTTCTTGACATCAAAACTCTTGATTTTGTCAGCTTGAAGGATGCCCAGGCATTTGTAGTGGTAGTCTTCATCCAGATTTTTGATGTTATTTCTATAGGACATCTTGATTCCTTCAGTTTTCATTATTTTTTCCTTGTTGACAATGAGGCCAGGATACATGTCCAGATCAAACTCCATTGCAGTATCTTGACTGTATATATGGGCAGTCTGGGCTGTTGGTTTGAGCTCCGAGCTTGGCAATTTGGTTGCATACATTTCGTCACCATTCGAGGAGACATCATCAGTGCACTTTGAATTGTGCTCGTCTGCCAGAATACTGGCCTTTAAATACCTTTTTATGTGATGCAAATTGGTATGAATGTTATTTGTTCGGATATTTCTGAATCATGGTCTGATTTTGGGCTGTTTGATTGGATGGTTGTTGTTGCTGGGCTGTAGTCTTTGGTGTTAAGTACCGTCTGTGTGATGAAAATTAGTTTTAGTGTTGTTTGTGATTCTATTTTAGATGGTATTTTTCCATGCAATTTCAGATCTATGTAAAGTAGATAGCATAGCCTAGCAGATGTTTTTGAAGTTTGATAGCCATGGACTGAGTTAATCAGTACTATCGACAATGATAAGCAGTAGTGGTGATAGTGAATCTCCTTGAAAGTTCCTCTTTTGGTATTAATTTCTCCCAGTCTATCACCACTGACCAGTAACTATGTCTTCCATTGTGCATCTTTGCACAAAACCTCTGATGTTTGTATTTCTAGGCACTTGATTCTCTGATTGTGTGGCAGAGAGTCCTTCATGTAATCTATTCAAGCTATGTTCAAATTGGTCTTTCTATTACAGTTTTCCAAAATCATCTTGCCAAATTTGGAGCTGCTACTCACCTGGTTTTAGAAGAGGTCCTCTGTTATTTGCACAGTTTCCCTTCTGCCCAGGTAGAAAGAACTGGACGCTACTGGACTGCATCAGCTACCACACCAGTTAGCAATTTGAAAGTTGTTGGTAACTAGGAAATTGGCCTGCAGTTGCCTGATGCTGCTCCTTTTGTTGGAGCTTTAATTATCAGGGAGATTTTGACAGATATTAACCAATGTTCAACTTTACCTTATTGGTGGGCAGTAAGTGGGTAGAGACTAGTCAGATGCTTCAACCACAACTCTTGATTTTTCTTGTCCTATTCTCCACCGTTTCTATTTTTATTATGGGTTCTTTCATTTCAAGTTGCTTTATACTAATCCACCTCCTTTATCTAGGCGCATTCATGTATTTTTTTATGTTGTCCCATAGCTGCACCCAGAACTGCACTGTTTCTTTATCAGGTATTGATCAGTTCATTACAGTCTCTCTATTGATGGATTGTAGAAACATTTCTGATTTGACTGAAATTGGAGATTCTGCCTATAGTGTGCAATTTGAGGTCCGTATTTGTAGATCTTCTTGGCTATAGCCATTATTTGACGCTTTATTATTTCCAATGCTTCCTTAATCTTCCTTGTTTCTAGATGGTATCTCCTGATCAGATATTCTTTGGTTTTCTTGTTCTTCAGATATTTTTCTTTTATCTGTTCAATATTCTATTTAAGTAATGAAAATCTTTTTTGCCCAAACAATATCTGAAGAATTTAGAAGCTTGTCACTGAGAAGTTAGTGACAACTTTTTCCAATAGTTATGTTTAAATAATTTTAAATTTTCTGAATCTGAACACAATCATTAATAAATAACAAAAGATTACCTGTGAACATCAATGGTCTCTATCAAACGACAAAATAACCATGCCCACAGGAAAATTACGTGATTACAGAAGACCATTATCGCAATGAAGAATCCAGTTCCAAGGATTAGAATTTCTAAAGGATGTGCATATTCAGCTTGCATCCCAAATGGTGCCTGAAGAAAAATATACAGAGAAGGTTCATGTACGTGTAACCATACTGAATATTTCATATATATGTTTCAATATGACAGTATTGTTTCAGCAGATTTTCTTCCCTCACATGCTAACCTTCGACTCAAATGTAGAATTGAATAAATTGAATACATTTCTAAATGTAAGAATATTTGCTACTGCTAATTCCAGACAGCCCCTTAAAACAGTAGGTGCTATGTAACTGTGGATACTGTGTGATTTAAAGGCACACAAAGAAGATTCTATAGATCAGTAAACTTATATGTATTCTGTTTTCCTCAATGTTTCAAAAGATCATGTTAAAGAGGTTGCTTGAAACTAAGTTTCTTATTATTTTAGAAACAGAAATTAGTTATTCAAATAAAGTACAAATGTTTCGCACTGTATTTTTTTTTAAGTTCAAATGTAAACTGGAACTTGGAGAAAAGATTTATCTTAACAGAATAACAAAGTTGGAAGGGACCTTGGAGGTCTTGTAGTCCAACCCCTGGCTCAGGCAGGAAACCCTATATCATTTTAGACAAATGGTTGTCCAATCTCTTCTTAAAACCTTCCAGTGTTGGAGCAGTCACAACTTCTGGAGGCAACTCATTCCACTGATTCATTGTTCTGTCAAGAAATTTCTCCTTAGTTCTATATTGCCTTTCTCTTTGATTAGTTTCCATCCATTGTTTCTTCTCCTGCCTTCAGGTACTTTGGAGAATAACTTTTCTTTGTGGCAGCCCCTGAGATATTGGAACTCTGCTATCATGTCACTGCTAGTCCTTCTTTTCATAGTAGGAAATTTCTTTGCATTTCTTCTTAAATATCTAAGACATCAAATGATGGGAAAGATTATTCCTGAATTCCTGCAGAGTTGTTGGTAGTCAATATTGTAAAAATTAGTCTGATCTTTTAGGTCTGCTAAAATGCAGGTCACAAATAAAAATATATAAAATAGAATAGAATAGAGCATATGTAAAATATAAAATATAGTGTGGCTTATTATTTGCAATTTACACAATGCTTACTGCAAACCCAGGCAAAAGTTTCTAAATTTAACATAAATCCTCTCAAATTGGAATTTGCTTGATTTGAATCTACTATCACTATATAAGAAAAGATATGCCCATTCTGAGAAATGTATCTGACATTCAACTATATTACAATACATACCATACAATATTCTTTATTGGCCAAGTGTGATTGGACACACAAGGAATTTGTGAATTATATTACAATGTATAATTAATCAAGACTGGCTAAAATAAATCACTGCAATTACAAATACTGAGCAACTGAACACTTACCAATATAGCCCAAATTGTGGAAGTAGTGTCAGAGAAGCTAACATTCATTATGAGCTATGATTGGGAAATGATGCTAAGAATAAAATGGGCTTCTATGTTCTAGATCAGAATTCCCCAATCTTTCTGGCTTTGCGGACTGGTGCGGGGAGGGGGGATGGTTCTGCACGAGCAGCAGGCACACTGCTTGCAAAAATGGAGGACATGTGCTTTCCTGCTGCTCGTGCAAGTAGGGATGTATACGTGCACCCACCACTTCAGATGGCCAGTTCTGAACAGTTCATGGCCCAGTAGTGGGCTGCAGCACCCCTCAACAGAGGATTGGGGACCCCATTCTAGATAACAGAATAATAAAAAACACAATACACTTCTTTCTTAATAACAAGTTAGCTAAGAAAAAATGCTAAGAGGAACAAAATCATATTATTGGTTTACTGCAATGTTTAAGTTAAAACTCTTCAACTTTTGTAAACCATTCTGGCCTCATATGATAGGAAGAACAGTAAAGAAATCATATAGCTAAATAATAAACCTGCTAGTTTCTTCTCCCTATTTCTAAAAAATATTAACTAATACATGCCCATTGAATGAAATGTTAAGCCTGCAATCATATACAGAAACAGGTCCCAATGATTTGTATGGAATTTTCTTATTGGTAAGTGCATATACAGCTTAACTATATAATAAAAAAATTAAGAAATTACATACAACAAATTCATGATGTACTTTGTGAATATATTTATATATTTTCTTATGATGAAGTAGTCGATGCAGGAAATAATGCCAGGTATCTTCAATCACAGCAGATCCAAAGCACTGGGCAACTATCACAAACCTTTAAAATAAAATTGGTTTTTGAGATGATTATATATTTGTACAATCTATCCAATGACCAGTGGTAGAAACCTGACATATTTAACATACAAAGAACTTTTAATAAGATATTTTTCCCTCTTGGAGCAACAAGCACAGCAAATAAGTCATTGCCTGAGAAAGACAAGAAACATAGGAGTTAATTATAATGTAGTTTATATTATATTTAAAATAACTCTTAGGCTTCCATTTTCGTCTTGCATAAAGATATCCAGATATTACCTATTATATTTCTATTTGTTTTATAGAATGAATAAATGATAACATGTTGCTGAATGTTTCTGGAGCTTAACAATTACGAATAGCAGACACTGTCTCCCTGCAACTAGTCTATTAAATTAAGGTTTCACTCCCTTGTCATTTTTAATCAATAAACCATAGAGTCAAAAGCATTTTGTCTCAGAACTCCTAGAAATTTCTCCCAAACCCAATCATTTATCAGCATTATACTAACATTTGTAATGTTGGAAATATGTATTTTTAACAACAAAAAATAATTGAATATTACTTACCATCTTGGCATGCTTTCCCAGTCATAAGGAATATTAAAATATTCTGTGAAATAATAGCTACCACATATGAGAGGCAATTGAATAAAAAAGCGATTGAGCATAATTTGTTTGAAACATTTCCATTGTTTAGTCCATGTTTCTGGTCTATCCTATAACAGCAGCAAATAAACAAAAAATAATTAAATAGTGCATATTGGAAACGGATTAATCTTTCTCACAGACATCTTTTCCCAGCTACGATGATGTCAACATTACAAAACATATATTGCAACATGTTCTTGACTTTTGAACTTCTGTTACAATGTCTCCTACATGTTAAAGGGGTGAGGTTACATAATTGTCTCCTTGTCCTCTGCCCCATGTGTTTATGGGTAATAAGTAATAGGAAAATTACGGCCCACTCATAGCGATTCTCTTAATTAAAAATCCAATCTTAGGCAAGTTTACTTACAAATATAACTTTGTGTTCAGTAGTATTTTTCCTCCATAAGTATGGGTAGGTCTGAAGCAAAATAAACTGCTTAACTTGGATTCAAGTATTACACTGCAAATTGTGCATTCTTGAAATGAGTTGGTTGGATATAATTTTTTAAATTAAAGAAGTGTTCTCTGATTACTTTTCTTTGATTTTATTTGTCCTGCACTGAGATATTGGTTAATAATTTTAGGTATGATTTCTTGTAATGCACTTTAGTCAATACAAATATTAGCTGGATTCAATAAATAACTCACACAATATATTCCACCAACTAGTATAACTTATAAATCTGGTTAAAGCTCTGCTTTCAATAAAGTTTTCTGTCAGCAAGAGCAATGTATGTGGCTGCCAGTTAAAGGACTACCCCTAATTTCAAGGTGTACTGTAAAGACTTTAATGTTCTTGCATCTGTAGGAAGAAAAATCAGGTCCAGTCCCAAGCTGGGAGAAAGCCGCTGAAACTAAAATGGAGGCTACTAGGCAAGAAGATATCTGTTTATTTGGTAGCCAGAAACTAAAATGTCAGCAGCATGTTTCTGGGGTGGCTGACAAAATGGAATTGAGAGTAGGTGGGTTTTTATACTTTCTTTGGGGCTTTGGGATTGAAATGCCTGTTCCTGTGTAAGAATATGTCCTTTAATATTTTAATGACCATTGCCAGATTCTTAATGGGATCATGGCTAGTTCTACAGGCAAGAAGTGAAGTGCAAATCCTAGGTGTTTGTCTGAGCTAATCTTAGTTGGGCCTTGCCTATTGTGCTGCTTATTTAAGGTTTCTGGCTGTTCTTTCTTTATGAATAGTGTGGCCCAGTCTTACTGAATAGATTACAAAATCCCCATTCCTAAAGACTAATCTCCTCAGGTTTCTGCTTTTGGCTGCTGCTTTTAAGAAGGTGTCTCTCCTCTTCTCCTTAGGAAAAATATTCTATTCTGCCTCTTTTTTAATATTAAGAATAAAGAATAGTTCATTCTGGGGAGGGAGGCCCTCCTATACATCAAATACTGTCTTAATTTGTAGATGCATTAACAACAGGTTTTTCAACAGTGACTAGTTCCAAGCCTGACAGAAAAGCTCTTTGTTCTCATGATTTTATTTTTAAGTTATATTTTTCAGTGTAACCGCTGAAGCTTAGCATTTATTGCATGGAATGTTTTGACTTTCACACATTTCGTGTTTTATTGTTACATTTTATCTCAGACACATCTTTGAATAGATTTTTGTAGTTAAGAGTCAGTAAAAATAATATGTCAGTAGGTAAATTTAATCAGTAGAGTTTCAAGTCCTTTTTATTAATTTCTTTCAATACTTCCAGATAGAATGGAGATTTGATACCAATTTTGCAAAACAACCACTGGACACAGATTTGACATTAGGACACCCCACAATAAAGACAAAGTAGTATCAGAGCATTTTAATCTCCCTGGACGCTCTCTGGCAGCCCTCAAATTTTCTGAGTAACGTACATCTAAAGGTTTCAGGCAATTACAGAATATCTCAACATATACAAATGATTTTAGCAGGCTATAAATGTAATTATATGTAATTTTTAATTTGTATTTATTTTATATATAATTTGCATCCGTATAACAATAGCTTTCCCCTCCCTTCACCCTACCTCACTCCAATTTAAATCCTAAATTTAGTCACTCTATGCATTTAAGGAAATGAGCTTCAATGACATTTGAAGCATATTGCTGGCTCATATTTATTTAAGAGATTGTCTACTAGGACTCCAAGATCTCTTTCATCCCTTTGACTCAGTCAAAGATAATATCATATTCTACAAGAAACTCTTAAAACTATTTCATCAGCATTTTTTATTATAAACAAAAATTCATTACCAATGTCATCTCTATCCTGGAACTTCTATTACACCAGAACTTTGCCATGACAAGATAACAAACATACACAATACAACATGTTTCCCTATAGGAAACATATAAAATCACATGAATGCCTAAATGCTTCCAGCTCATCTCCAAATCTATCATGTATAGTCAGGCTCTACACCAGTGGTTCTCAACGTTTGTGTGACGGCGACCCCCGTCACACAAACGTTCTGCGCATGCGCAGCGTGGCGCGCATGGGGGCGGGACCATGTATGCGCAGCGGCACCCCATGCGCGGCACGCATGCGCGGCGGCGCCCCCATGCGTGGCGCGCATGCACGGCGCCGCCCCCATGCGCAGCACGCATGCACGGCACCGCCCCCTGAGGGGGAAAAATGGTGGATCGCCGCCTTTGGCGACCCCCGAAAAATGGTCGATCGACCCCAAATTGGGTCGCGACCCATAGGTTGAGAACTGCTGCTCTACACAAATGCAAATTTGTTCTGATCCACTTAACAAGAAATGATCAACTGGTGGAACTAAACCAAGCATCAGGTGACTAACCTACCCATAGAACAAGATGAATAGAAAAAAACCCCAATAGGGCTAGATCAATTACTTGGGAGGAGCTAGTAAAAGATAGGCATCAGAAACAAAACAACATAATACCACCTAATGTGCTTACATCTCGAAGTTCACACTACTGAAATGCATTATTAGTAAGTTACAGCCCATACTAGACAAAGATACATTATCTCAGGCACTTGTATGGCAGGCCCACTCTTGCATACAGCTACCCAATTATCTAGCCTAAACAAATTGTCCAAACAACAGAGACAATAACAAAAAATGCTAATATGGAACCAAATCTTACAATAAATTTATATATCTATTTTGCTCTAACATCATCATCACAGGCTACAAGAAATATAGACACACGATTGGAGGTGCCTTCACGTGGTCTTTCTCTGATGTTATTCATGCCATCGTCTACCAGGAATGCCCCTCTGAATTTTACATAAGACAAATGGGACAACTTTGCACAAAAGAACCAATGGATACCAAATTTGACACCAAATTTTCTTCAATCAAAATAAGAAAAAAATATTTGATTTCAACCTTTTTGGACATTCTATGGCATATCTCAAAGTGCCAGTTTTGGAAAAACATGACTTTAACTCCATCAATGAATGAGATGTTGCTGAACTTACATGTTATTTATTTATTTATTTTTATCCCCCTTTTTATAAGCTCAAGGCAACAAACATACGTAAAACTCCTTCCTCCTATTCTCCCCACAACCCTGTGAGGTGGTTAGGTTGAAAGAGTGAAAGGTCCAAAATAACACAGATGGATGGATGGATGGATGGACAGACATACCTCTCAAAAGTTTTAGCAATCTCAGAACGTCTAAACAAACACTATGTTTTTAACCTAACACAAATTCTAACCAATACAATAGGAATCTATTTTACATATAAACTGCATTTGCTTAACCAATGATCTTGCCCTTCTTACTCCCATCTCACTCCAATTTAAATCCTACATTAGTCTGATGAAGTGAGTTGCAGATCATGAACATTTATACATTTTAATAACAAGTCTTAGCTATATAAAGTGCCACCAAACTCCTCCTAATGTTTTAGCACTCTAGATTAACATGGTTCTCTTACAGTGTTAAAGTTTTATCTTACCTGTTGTATTTTATATTTTTGCATATAAGGTATAAACTGAAATACAAATCCGGGTAAGCATATTAAAAAATAGAGAAGTTGGTAAACGAGAAATGAACCCCAAGCTGCAATCTGGAATTTAGTGTAGTTGTTTAGCATATAGGTCCAAGCATTTTTAAGTGGTTGTTGTAGTGGATTTTCAGGCAGCAAAGAGTCAATGTATTCTACAGCAAAGTAGGCAGAATGCAGTATCTCAGAACTATTGTTATTCATCATCGTTCAGTTCTGGCACATCACACTGATAGTTTCTTAACAAAGTTTCTATGAATCTGTAAAATGTCAAATTATTGAGAGAACTCAATAAATGATAAGAAAAATAAATAGCAGTACAATATTAATATCTTTATTCTATATAATAACTGTTCAAGCAGCATAGACTACACAAACAGATTTGTGATTGCTAGAACTTATATTTGCAGAAAGGTTTGTTTTGACAGTGGTTCCATCTAGATCCCATGTAAAAATTACAAAAAAGAATGAGATTCATAATTATTCTCATCCTGAGCATGTGGATATGATTTGCATTTTGACTATGGTCTCATATCAAGTGCCTGTAAAAACACACATGTAGGAGCTAAAAAGTTTTAGATGAGCAATTGTAATGGCTCTCTAGATACAGATGGATATAGTTTAGTGGTGGCTTCATATGAATACATGATAAAAGTAATTGGCTGTCTCATGATTCCGAGTTTATCCAGGCTTGCTTTATGTAATTATTTAATATAGTCACCAGTAAAGGCATGTGAGATAAAGTGGTACAACTGACTTATTCTACCTGTTGCTTTCCAGAAGTCTTGTGATACAATTCTAATTACTAACTGCTACATAACTAAAGAAGAACATCAGGCTGGGCAATGCTTGTCTACAGTATTTGATTAGGAATGCAAACTGTAATCTCCACTAAACAATTTTAAGCCATTCACTGACACTGATCTGCACTAGAGCTTTGGTAAGATAACATGGGAGACGGATACATTACCTTGAATGCGCTTTCAGAAGTGTTAAATTGCCGGCCCCGCGGGCCTGTTTTATCATACTGAAACCGGGCCCACCCCATAGCCAGCAATGTAAAAAGAGTCACGATATATCGCGACACGTCACGTCACGTCGCGGGTTTGACACCGGTGGCTCAGAGAAAAGCCCAGGACCAAGTTAAGCATATTCAGCTATTTCCTTATTTTGTCGCAACAGGCAACAATTATGAATAAACCTATCATCTGTTGGGAAAGTACTTTTCAGTGATCATCTCATCTGTAAGAAACAAACCTCCCCTCATTCATAAATCGGTTTTGTTTCTGACGGAGATGCATAAGGAATAGTAAAGAGATATAAACGATAATACATTGCAGCTAAATGCTCCCAACACCATAAATAATAAAAAAAAACAGGCACAAATAAAAATGCGGAGGACAGATGCTATTCTTTGGAGATGTTGACATAATGATGTTGACATAATGAAATGCAATGAGTTCACTTCGAAAGTGCCTGTTCCTGCATTTCCAACCTCCGTATTACGAAACCGGTTAATTACGTTACAAAAAACTCGGAAAAGCACAGATCCACACAGCCCACGGAGTCACACTAATGCGATGTCTCTGGTTCGCTTACCTCGCAAAGCGCAGCTCTCTCCGCAAAACTCCAGGCGAAAATGCAAATTCCTCCTCAGGACGAGCTCTAGAAAGATTGTTCCGTCCTTAATTTGTAAGGCTTCGCTGCTCTGATTGGCTAAACGTGTTTCTCAACCTTGACAATTTTAAGACTTCAACTCCCAGAATTCCACAGCCAGCTAAAGCATGAGATGTCGTCATGATCAGGCGTGCGCTCGCTCGACAATAACGGAAGTCCGCGAATTACTATTGGAAGGAATGGAGTGAGGATGGGTAGGTTTCTGTTGCACATAGTGAACATCGCTTCACCAATGAAGATAGGTGAAATACTGTAAATGGGTCGTTACTATGGAAATCGCAAGAGTCTCCTACTTTTTTTTGTTTTGTTTAAATGAAATTGGTATTTGATAGAAGCAGATTAAGGAATGCAGACATTCAAGCCAATCCTGTCATGCAATCTTTCATTGACATATTGAATACAATAAAATACATAGCTTAAACTATCTGGGCAAACGAAACAGTTCTCTTTTCTATCTTAGTACTCCCAATCTGGGCTGCCAGACTGGCACTAAAGAAATACAATTCTCCGGAGTTTTGCAGATGCTGTCAATCAGCTATGGAGTCTTACTGGCCAAGTTCTAATCTTTTTGCTACTTGAAGTGTGTTTTAAAGTGTTTTAAAAACTAACTAGTTTTTCATTTATCATATTTTTAAGGACATTTTTATGGTGTGTAGAAGCTCATCACCTACCTGTTTTACTATCTGTTTTGATTGACTGTAGTTAATTGACACTTCTCAGAATGTAAACCTGAAACTTTGTACCATTTTAAAGATGTTCATTTAATTGAAGCCTCTTCTCCAAAATTCATTAGCACCTAATTTCTCACCAAATTTTTCAATCTTAAGGAGTAGACTCCTTCAGTGTAGACCAAAGCTTCAAACACCATAGTACCAAATCATGCAGTAGAAATAAAACCAACATATTGTATGTGTTGTATATGTGTTTCTCAATCTCTAAAATGATGTGGTTTATTTTAGAATAAATGTTAAGGGTAGATTTTCCTGCTCCTGGCAAATTGCAAATCCTTTTCCTGAAACATGAGGTGTGTCTAGCTACAAGAGCCTCCTGAAGCTCAAGTTTGCTCGTGTAGGGAAATAATCTTCTACTTAAGTTACTTTTCTTATCCTATCACTAATTGGTGAAACTACTATGAAGCTAATCCTGGAACATATAAGCATTTCTAAAATAATGTGGTCTATTTTAGAATAAATGTTAAGAGTAGATTCTTCTGGTCTTGGCAAATTGCACACCTTAAAATATTAGGCTTTTAAAATTACTTGGAGTAAAGTGGTACCTGGAAAAATACTGATGGTCCGACAAAGAATATGGGTAAAAAGCAGATGGCCCACCAAAGAATGTGTATGAAAGGGAGGTTTGTTTTGCTTACAAGACAACTCTTAAATTTAGGATGGCCAGACATCCTGTTCCCAGCTCTGCACATGATATATTACTAACTGCTTGTCACATGGTGTATCTAAATTGCTTAACACTTGATATATTGCTGATTGCTAAAAACATTCCAATGTAAACGAGGAGCTATCAATTATAGATCTGTCTAGTTGTTTTTCTATGTAACCATGTGTGGAATGTGACCTGCTCAGGAAATAACTCTGCTTGAAGGGTTATAAAAATGGTCATCAATGACCAGGCTTTTGTTCAGATTTCTTCAGCCAGGATGGCTCTCTGAACCTGCGCAATAAACTTCTCTTTCCTGGAAAGAGCTGACTCAAGTTTTTTAATTCTACAACATTTTCTGGTGCATTGGCCGGGAAGAGCTTGAGTGAGGCGATATTTCGCTGAGGACAGCTGGACCCTTCGGACGTGCTGGTAAGCCATCTCTGAACAATTCTCCAGGCGCCATGGGGGTGTGTTTCCTCCAGGAGACAGCTGTGGCTTCTCAGCAGAGCCGACAGTACCGAAGGCCAGTCCAAGAACCCTTTGGGAAAGGAAAGGAAGTCTGAACCAACTCCTGGCCAGAATGGGTGTAACTACAAGGCAGGCGAGTATGTGTTTAAAGTAATGGTACCTATCTCACTTGAAGATAGAAGAGGGGGCCTGATCACTCCCCTGGACTCGGGACGGCGATCCTAATGAAGTCCGTGTTAGGTTGTGTGGGTGGTTAAGCCAGTGCATTCCCTACTAGTGACCGCCGGCGCTGTAGGTCATTGGCAGTGTGTTAGGATGGGGGGGGGCGTAGTATGGATGTGGGGTGGCCCCCAGAGGGGACTTTTAAGAAAACTATCCTAACCAATTTCAGTATATAGATCAGTGGGGGGATGCAGTAGCAGGACGCAGGACGAGCTGATGAGTTATTGCAATGTCAGGCTGAAATGGTTCGTTTGTGTGTGGCTAGACCCAAAGAAAAAAAAGCTTCAAGTACAAACTAAAAGAGTGAAAGATGTGAAGATTTCAGAAACTAAGGTGTCAGATGCTAAGAAGGAGATAAGGATGGAGGTAGAGGAGTTGATTCTCAGACCTCCTCCCTACGTTCCACCTTTCTCCCCCTCCCCCCCCCAGTGCCGGCTGCGGCAGCAGCCGCTCTGCCGGAGGAAGGGCTGATTGCCCCTGCTGTGTCCGAAGAAAGGCAGCCAGCTGTGAGACGAAAACAGAAAGGGGGAGGCTGTCAGCCCCCAAGGAGGAAGGGGATTTGGAAGGTGTCTCTGTAAATGTGAGGGGAGAAGTAAGTAAAGAGGACGTGGCAGGATGTACAGCAATTGTTGAATATTTTGTTGACTCCCGAGGAAAGGGAGAAGTGGAAGGCTGCTGTTAGGCAGTGTTTGAAGGATAGGTTGCCGGCTGTGCGGGATATACAGCCAGAGATGGAAGCCAGGGCACCAGAAAAGGACCCTGAATGGAATACACAAAATCCAGCACACATGACTTTGTTAAAGGAATATCAGAATTTAGTAGTAGAGGCTCTTTGCAAGGCTGGAAAGCTTTCAGTGAATGTGTTAAAGCCGTCTTTTGTGATGCAGGAGGCAGATGAAAGTCCGGAAAGTTTTTTGCAAAGGCTGATTGAGGCTTATGAGCTTTATACACAGGTTGATCCAAGGAGTGCAGACAATGTGCGAATGTTGAATGAGAGGTTCATAGCACAGAGTTATGAAGATATAAGAAAGAAGTTGCAGAGGTTAGAAGGAGCATTAGGAAAGAACACTACAGAATTGTTGGAGGTGGCTAGGAAAGTGTTTGTTAATAGGGATAAGGTGGAAAAACAGGAAAGAGATGCTAGAATGCATAAGAAAATTGAGTTGTTGGCGGTGGCATTGCAAGGAGGGATCATGCTGGGACCCAACCAGTGTGCTAATTGCAAGGAGGAAGGTCATTGGCAAAGAGAATGTCCAAGAAGGCAGATGCGAGGTAGAGGTTGGAGAGGAAGAGAAGGCAGAGGATTTGGAGGTGTTGGCAGTGGGCCCCCCATGCACTCCCCCTTCATGGGTAGAGGGCAGAGAGGGGCTCCAAGGAATGTGAGAGATGGTCCAGGGAATGTAAGAGATGGTCTGAGGAATGGGAGACATTGGAATAGAGACAGGGAGATTGAGGGAATTGGCTTGGCAGGAACTAACGGGTCAGATTGACGAGGACCTGGCTTGGAGGAAGCCCCCCCTGAGCCATTGGTTACTTTAAATATAGGGGGCAAACAGACAACGTTTTTGGTGGATACTGGAGCAGGAAGATCAGTTGTGGATTTGAAAGCAGAGTCTTTGTGTGTGAAGTAAATATGACTGTTACTAACCTCAAGAGAAAAGAAGATACCAAAAAAAATAACCTCACTCTGTTTGTCTGGCCAACAAACAAAGTGAAGGAAGATGTGTTTGTTTATTTATTTATTTTTTCTCTCCCTCTTAAGAACAGCCCAAAGTTACCTGCTCAGGCAGGAAATCCTATACCATTTTCTTGCCTATGCTGCTCTCTCCCTTTTGCAAATGTTAGTGTGTTAATGCCTTTTCAAACTCTATCTGCAGACACAACCCCCTTTCCCCCCCTGCTTTTTTTCTGGCTGTGTTGCTTTGAGAGAGATAGAGAGAGAGGAGAAAAGGGGGGGTTGATCTTTTTAACTTTTTCTCTGCTTAGAATTCAGGTTTGAGAAAGGTTGGGTGGCTGTGAAAATTTAATGCCCACTTTTGCAATTTTTTTTATTCAAAAGAGGAGTCAGTAATTGTTGGACACGGACAATTTTTTTTGGGAAATTTTTGAGTTTAAATTGTTTAATATCAACCAAAAGAGTTTGCTTAGATTTGTAAATGTTCTCCCTATTTAATGGAAATTTAATGGAAATCTGTTTCCATCTGAATGGAATTTGATTAAATTGGAATTTGACTAACTTTATATTAAAAGCAATACTAGAGTTTAGGAAAAAAAAACCTTCAGTAACTCAGAATATCTTATTAAACTTGTTTATTTTTTTGTGTGAAGTTAGAACGAAGTTGAGAAAAATTTTGGGATTATAAATAACTATGCTGTTTTGAGTAAAGATTTATATGCAAAACTGTTAGAAAAAGAGCTTGTGTTAGAAAAAGAGCTTGTGTTAATAAATGCAAACAGGGTTTGGTGAGCTCTCCTTTGTTGGTTCTTTGCTAGGTAATTTATTTATAAACAAGGACAAAGGTTGGAGGAGGTTTTTACCCAGAAGTGTGTGCGTGGGGGGGAAAGGCAGCCAGTGGCATTTTTATCTAAAATTGACATTTGGGGACATCTTGGTGGTTAGCATTTCTTATCAAGTGTGGACAATTTTAATCAGGAAGCCTAAAGGAGGTATACACTTGTTCATAGCAAAGTGGTTTTCAGTTGTGGATTTGAAAGATGCTTTTTTCACGATTCCTATTCACAAGGCTAGCCAGCCGTTATTTGCTTTTGAATGGGAGGGAGAACAAAACAATGCCTTTAGGGAAGTGAAACAAGCCCTCACATCAGCTCCAGCTTTAGCCTTGCCTAACTTAGAAAAGCCTTTCAATTTGTATGTTGATACCAGGAAGAATGTTGCCTTGGGGGTGTTAACTCAACAATTAGGACAGTGGCAACGCCCGGTGGCTTACTTATCTAAGCAATTAGATGGGGTTGCCCAAGGCTGGCCACATTGCCTGAAGGTTCTTGC